ATCATCAGTGCTCTTCGCTAAAAAACTGTCAACAGGAGCTACAGCTACAGTCATCAACATGCTTACGGAAGAAATGCTGAGCGTACAACATATCTTTCACCACAATATTTTTCCACAACAATATTTTTCCACAATGGCTGATAATCTGCAAGTTTCTAATGTCCCACTTACAATGCGTAGTTGTCCAGTAAGCCTGTAATCTGATACTACCACTGAACACCACTCTGGTAAACCATGTTTTGTTTGGTAGCTTGCAATCACGTATGGCAGAGTAGCTCCCCCTCACAGGCAATGCTAAAACACTGTCCATTTGTTATCACTGAGGACCAAGTGCCTTGCATACAGTGGCTCAGCTGCTCTCATCTGCTTGCAGGGTCACGTTCAGTTACTCATTCACATAGCTCTGATTTTAAATGCAAGCTTTTTTTTGTTTGTTGATTTCTTTTTCTTTCTCTCTGTGCTTCTCCTCCCCCTCCTCTGTATCCCACAGCCAGCTACAGCCTTGGCTACGAAGCTACCAACCAGTTACACGCATTTACAAGAGAGAAGCGGGCAGACAAAAGGGGACAGCAGATAAGCATGGCATCAGCTGGTCTGCAGTTCTTTGCTTTTATGCTGGCTTTGTTTGGCGTTTTTGGAGACATCGCAGCCACCTTGCTACCGAACTGGAAGGTAAATGCAGATGTTGGTTCCAACATCATAACGGCTATAACGCAGATGCAAGGACTGTGGATGGACTGCACGTGGTACAGCACCGGGATGTTCAGCTGCACCCTGAAATACTCCGTTCTGTCTCTCCCCATCTACATCCAGACTGCACGAACCACCATGGTACTGTCTTGCATCCTATCAACCTTTGGGATCTGCATCACTACAGTTGGAATGAAATGCACAAAGTTGGGAGGGGACACCGACAGCAAAAGTCACACTTGTTTTGCTGGAGGAGTCTGCTTCATTCTCGCAGGAATTTTTGGATTAGTACCAACATCTTGGTACACGAGAGAAATCATTTCCAATTTTCTGGACCAGACCATTCCAGAGAGCAGTAAACACGAACCAGGAGGAGCGGTTTATATAGGATTCATTTCAGCAGGGTTTCTGCTTGTTGCAGGTGCGATTTTCTGTACTTCCTGCTTTAAAAAGCAGCAAGGAGCATGGATTTGTCCTCCAAAGCAGCAGCATCTCCCACCCACACTGCAGGAGAGCAATACAGGTTACAACCTGAAGGACTACGTGTAAATACCATTGTTTTCATCCATTGAGGCTTTTTTTTTCTTTTTTTTTTAATGCTAAGTGTACTCTGATTATTTTAAAGAATGTGTAACACCTAAATTTTCTTACATCTGGGCTGCAATTATATTTACATAAGATATTTTCCTCTTAGCAATATCAGCAAAAAGAACAAGTTACGAAGCAGTCCCTGAGTCTGCTGCAAGAGTACTTTTTTGACTGACATCTCAAACCATTTTCTTTGACTTTCCAAGTAAGATTTACTGAAGAAAAATAAATTATTTCAGCATAAGCAACAGTACATTTAATGTACTGATCGCTTGTTACAGCAAAGACACTTCAATTTAGTGAAATCAGGCCACTGGTAACAGAATGGTCTATATGGTATTTTACCTTTTTCCCTTTTATTATGATGCAAGGAAAAAAAGCAACTATTCCCTGTCCAAGAAGCTCAATTCAACAATTTCTATGTAAGGGACATATCTGCCTTTCATTTTTTGTTCTAAATTGTCATAGTAACGTTTAGATTTCCTAAACAACAACAATAAAAAGCAAAAAAGAAATAAATCGCCCAATACAAAAAAGAAAACCACCAAACTAACAACACAAACCTGCACTCCCAACCTTAGCTGCACAGCATTTACATATTAGGAAGGAAAATCAGTGGTATCATTCAGATGCTGCCAAAATCATCTCTCACCCCCTAAACTACCACCTGCTGTGGGTTTCATTTATTACTGTTAAAGCAATGCCAACTGGGCACTCTTCAATTGCTGCTAATCTATCACAAGTGTTAGATTTGAGGAGCAGTACAACTGAAATGTAACTGTGACTATGAAAACTGTAATGTGGGATACAAACTGTTTACCTATTTACATGAAAAATCCAGAAGCATTTTGCCTTCAGCTACCATTTATTGCCTTGAATGCTTTTGGCCTTCTAAAAGAACTTTACAGGTGCTTTCAATTATTCCACTAAGGTATGTTTCAGGCCCAGTCCCAGATATCTTATTAGTGTAAAATGTAATATACAATAATGATAAGAGAATGCTATTACACTTAAATGTATATGTTAACTCCTTTAATTTGATTGCTCATCTTAGATCCTTTAACCTTTTCTTTCAACAAACCGATTTTGTTTGTCAGTGTTCATTGGCAGATGTCCTGTTTAAACATTTTACTGAACAGGAATCAAATTGATGCCCATTTGTTAGCACAGGTAAGAGGATATGATGCAGACCCTTAAATTCAGGAACGTTACAACTTTGGACAAGTCTTCAAACAAAACCAACTGCTATTTATTTGGTATATTTATATGCAACTTTCAGTTCTTGTTTTATTATCCCAAATTTCCAAGAACAGTATAAAGAGCCCATAATGTTATCTATCTATCTAACGTTTGTTGGAAAAAGTGAAATCTTCTGTTACAGCATTTTAGAAAGTCAAATGCTTTATATCTAATAATGTAAAGTCTTTGTTCTACTGTCTGCATTCTCTGAAAGAAATTTCAAACTTCATCTTGCTCTTATTACTACTGCTACGTAGCCATTTGAAGTTTCTTATCTATTCATCAGGGAGCTTCTTTTGTACTATGCCTACTACTTTTATCAGCAGTTACTTAATACTGCAGAGACATAAGCAAAGAAAATTTGGCTTTTTGCTCATCATTAAGACAGAATGCTTTGCAGCACCATCTTGTTCATAAAACAGAAGCCCATTATGACTCAATATTCAAAGATATTGTTAAAATATTATTCATTCACTGAGCAAATGAGGTAGACAACTCGTTCCCAGAAACCATTCTTCTCCACCTTTTGTTTGGGGCCTGACACAACACTATGCTGTGATCACTGGTAACGTACGTGAATGAAAACTGACATTCATAAAACAGAAACCAAAGATGTTTATACATACGAAAAATGTAACAATTCCATACTCCAAGCAAAATGAAGTATTTTTCAATTACATAAGCAACACATATTTCTTTCTAAAACTTTACACAGAAGTACCTGAACTTCTTTGGACACCTGTGAAACAAAAGGCAGGTACACAGCTGCATTATTCACAACACCTGCAAGAGCTTTCTTTGAAGGCAAAGGTTCTCAGCAACAGCGACACCTCAAACCATTTCAATCCAAAATAAACAAACAAAACAGGAGACGAAGCTACAACAGGAGTTAGAAGGAAACAAAGTACAGTGTAACGGGTGTCAGGTCTTCCTGAAAAGCTTGCATTATCTGCTCTTGCAATGTAATTTGTATTTGCTGTAAATCAAATAAATATATTAAATAATTACATGTTTGTGTTCAGCAGTACTGCCTTTTTGTGAGGTCCTTATTCAACTAAGCAACAACTGATTATAGGATTTGCTTACACTCAGACAGTTGTCACACCTTCATGGAGTTATCTTTCCCTCTCAGTCAATTGAAGCCTATTCATTACAGGAAAATGGGAATTTCAGTTACAGCTACCCAGTGCTGAGACACAGATGGCACAATATTTTTCACTGCAGCTCTAATATGTTCTCATACTACATCCACAAAATCCAAATTTTAGTCTCATTGTACAATACTTCACATATTTAACATTCAGATTAATAATATGATAATATTATTGGAAAAAAAAAACAAAGGAGGGCTAGAAAATCACAAAACAAATACAAACAAATTCAAACAAAAATGTAAAGCAAAAAAAAAGTCACATGAATGGCCGTTTTTCTTCACAATAGTGAAGATTTGTTGTCACAAATAATAGTGCAACATGTCTGGACAGTTACTTGTTTAAAAAAAAACAGTAAAGGAAATCTACGCCGTCATCAGAATATGCACAGACATAGGCTGTAAAATTCAATATAATGAGAGAAAGAGAATAACCTTCTATAGGTTCTCAAGAGATATGACTGAAGAATAAAACGACCCACAGGGAGACTATGAGAAAGGGAAAGGATGATTTACTTAAGAGCCAAACCAACCATTTTAAGAGAAACTCAGAAGGAGCAGGTAAATGTCCATGTGCACTCATGGCAAACAGATCCTACTTATTGTCATGCACACATTTTTACAAAAAGAAAAAGAAGAAAAAAAGGTAGATCTGTGATCAAAATGCAGTTTAATTTTTGCATTCTTGATTCCTGTTATCCTAATGGATTTATTAAAACAACAAAAAATAGTAGCAGGAAATAAGAGGATAGTAAAGACACTTTTCTCCTCTAAAGAACAGATAAAATAGAGAAAACATGGTTACTTTTTTAAACAGGGAGTGGGATGTAGGTGACTAAGTAGTATAGCAAACATGAGGGAGTTCAAAATGCTGAAGATGAGTAAGGTGAAATACACAGACCACAGACATGGTAAAAATAGTTATCAGTGGCATTTGAAAAGCTTTTATTAATAAGCCTGTTTCAGAAGACTCAACAAATTTTCCAGGCAGTTTTAAACTGTCTATAACTGCAATTGTAAAATAATTAGCTTTTCAAAGATGCTGCAATTCTAGCAAACTATCCTGCCACGAAATTTAAAATTCCACAAACACCCAAAGAATTACAGTGATCATGCAAATAGACTTGAACAGCAAAGCACAAGTTCTCAGTAACCAAAAAGAAAAGAATGCTCTTGAGCCATGGATGTGTCACTTTCACGCATACCACAAACAGTCTACTTAGTAGTGTGGAGATGCTGAATTGAGGACCCAACTGCTTTCCTGCCTGAAAATCAGATGGAGTGCCTAACTGAAAAGTTAACAATAAAATCAGAAGAACATAACAAAACTTACATCTGGCTTTGGAACAAAGGCTTGGCCTGGTATTACAAAACAGTTCTCAACAGTGCAGAGATGCTGAGACATGATGGACAGTCTGCTACGTTGCTTGCCTCCTGTATTAGCAGTAAGCCTCTGTTGAAGAATCAAAACATGTGAATTAGTGAAACTGAATGGACAAAACTGTCAATTACACAAAAGCTTGATCATCACTATAATCAAGGACAAATTAAAAAAAACAACCAACTCTTAAGAGCTCACATCAGAGTTTAAGCCTGAATAGTCTTGAACTATATTATCCTATGTAATACCATTTCATCATGACATCATGCTAATTTACAATCCCAGTCCTTCAATCAAAAGCACACAGAAAGGAGCTCCTTGAACTTCTGCAGAACTTACTAAATGTCAACATAATTTTGTATGGGAACATGAGAAGACTAAACCAATGTCACTGCAGAATTCAAATCAAAACAGTGCTGGCTGATAATATTTTCACATTCTTCCCTTCCACTGTTTGTGGATCTTTTTTTTCTTTTTCCTTTTTTTCTCCAAAATTAAAGCTCCATAAACTCAAAATCAGATACTAAACAAAATTTCTTTGTTATAAACTCATCTATGCTTACTATGTATGCAAGGTTGTCTAATCTACTTAAGTTTAGATACCTAACAATACAAGCATTTAATACTTAAAGTTCAATTAGCAGCTCTCTAATTTTCCCATGGAATTTCTTACAAAGGTTATCAAAAAGTCACCCAGACAAAAGAGGTTGTCTACACTTTCAAAAGCTGGCATGAAACACTATCTGCTTGTCTCGCTAGCAAAAACAAGACTCAAACAAAAAAACTCTCAGTAAAACATCTCTCAAATGGTTACAGGTAACAATTGAATTTTGAAGATTTCTCATCTTATTTACAACTACCTTAATTTTTTAAAAAAGGAGCAGTTTACATATCTAATAACATTTGTACGTTACATAGCTTCATGTGAAATTCATGCTGATAAAATACTGCTCAAACTATGTCAGAAAAACAAAACCCATTGCTCAAGTTTTTCTCTTTTTTTTTTTTTTTTCCTCTTCTTCCAACAAGTCTCCTTGTTTAAGTATTAGCATGGAACAAATATAATCCTTTCCAACAATTTCTCAGAAAGCAAACTCAGAGATTCTTTCAGCCTACATGAGCTCTTCAAACTACCTTTTATTGCTTCAGAGAAAACTTATTAAAAATAAATAAATAAAAAGAAAACAAAAAAAACAAAACTGATTAAAAAAATCTAACAAAAAAAAAAAAAAAAAAAAGCAATCAGATACACACGTCCTTAATTCTGCAATGGAAATGAAATGGACAGCACTTACAGCTCTTCAAATGCCAATTCAAACAAGCAAGTCTACTTTCCATGAAAACAAGACTCAGGCTTAGTTCCGGCCTCTCAGTTTACAGAGGGAATAACTTAAGAACATCCACCTCTGGGCAGTAACACCTTAAATTACTTCAATCGCATCGGCAGGAGCATACATGTGTATAGCACTTTGCAAAAATGCTACGAACAGTAATTCTGTAACCTGAGCTATTTAGGTAGTTGGGTTGTTTCTCCCTTAGCTCTCAAAATTTTCTTTGTATTTACCTTTAAAATGTGGATAGCATCTGAAACTGCAGTAAGTCAACCATGTCAGAAGTTCAGCTAACTAGGCAACATTTTTGTATCTATGTTCTACAAAAATTTCAAGGCAGGAGTCAGAACACTGATTCTGGAACATAACATGGAACACAGTCAAGGTGGTACAATGACATCTTTTTAATGTTGCTCACTATCAACTCCTCTCAATGTTCCTCAGGGACAACTATTTGTTTTGTTCCTCAGTAAGCCATGCTTTTCATAAGCATATATTAAAAGCCCATTATCAATCAATCTGCAAAATCCATCACAGGAATCAACCTACACAAAGAATTAAGAACTGGCAAAGCAGAGGGCTGGAGCCCTCCCCTACAAAGACAGGCTGAGGGAGCTGGGCTTGCTCAGCCTGGAGAAAAGAAGGCTGCGGGGTGACCTCATTGCAGCCTTTCAGTACCTAAAGGGAGCCTACAAACAGGAGGGGAATCAACTCTTTACAAGGGTAGATAATGGCAGGATAAGGGGAAATGGTTTTAAGCTCAAAGAGGGAAGGTTTAAGTTGGATATCAAGGTGAAGTTGTTTACCAAGAGAGTGGTGAGGTGCTGGAACAGGCTGCCCAGAGAAGCTGTGGATGCTCCATCCATAGAGGTGTTCAAGGCCAGGTTGGATGGGGCCCTGGGCCCTGGGTTGGTGGCCCTACATGTGGCAGGGGGTTGGAGATTCACGATCCTTGAGGTACCTTCCAATCTGGGCCATTCTGCAATTCTACAACTATCAAATCAATCCTAATACACAAGCCAATTACTTTTTTTCAGAATGCTAGTATTTATACACAACTTACATCTTAAGAACTTAACTTACTTCTTACAACTTAAGAAAACATAGTAAGTCTTCTTTTGTTCATAGTTCAAAAACCTGAACTATTTTCCAATTTCTTAGCACCTTTTGTCTAGCCTTCTAAGTAGATAGCAGTGTTACACACAGATTAAGCATTCTGCTCCTCTAATACTCCTACCTTCTAGACGTCTAATAGTATATGGCCCAGCCTACAGACTGTGTTAGTGGAGCAGCAGGTGAACTACACCCTGCAGCCAGTTTTACTCAAAATTAGACACTGACAAAGATCTTCCATTTAAACTGAATTATGATTCATTTTAATATAAGTGGGTCAGAAAGTATCCAGCCCAAGTGGCAAATCTGAGATGAATTACTGAGGAATTTCTGGCAAAGATTTTTTCCAGAAAATAACAAACAATTTTACAAAAACGAACTACAGAGGCAAAATGATTCACCCAACACTTCCAAGCATCATTTTTATAACTGTAAATATCTGGTCTTATCCTCCTTAATAGGCCCTAAAACCTAGTATATAAATCGTAACTACTGGTTCTCATCAATAATTTTAATCAATTTAATTAAATTGTATCAGAATAGAGAAATTAGTAGCAATGGGCCTATACTAACATAACTCATGACAGCATAGCAATTAGAAAGAAATAGAAAAGCAGGAAATTACCACCAGCAAGAAATGGCAAATGCATTTTTTACCTGTATATAATAGCACAAACTAGCTTGACTACGGATTGGGACACTGATTTATTTTCTCACCATTAACATCAAGTTATCAGAAGTGATTATGAAGCACACAGGGCCGTTCCATTACAGCATGTTATCCTTCCACTGAACTCGTGATATACACAACCAACACTTTATTCAGTATTGAGGCTTTTAGCTTCAAAGGATCAGAGAGAATATCAAGCTATTAAGAAATTTTCCTTTCAGATACATAAAATATCAATAAATAATTTTTTTTAAGTTTTCTACTGTGTTAAACTGTTCTGTATTTGCAGGTACAGAATACCTGCAGTTTGGCCTGTAGTTGCCAAATATCAATGGTTAAGCTACTTCAGAGTGGCACAAGAAAGATTACCATTCCTCCTAACCATAAAACAAAACAGTGTATCCCAAATGAGCATTCACTATGAAAACACAAACCATAAACTATGGAATTTCTGCATCAGAGCAAGCTCTGTGTTTGAATAAGCATAAAAACACGAATCAAGATGTCCCAGAATGCAAAGTCAACAACAATTAACACTGATTAATTGTACAGTCTTGAACATACCACTCCACTTCCTAGTGTTTTTAAGTTATTTGCACTTAAAAAGCTAGGAAGTTGAGAGTGCATGGCATTTTGCATCTCATTTGAGCTATGCTGGGTACAGAAGTACTATAATCTGCATGTCACCATCAGCATATGCAGCTGGTTACAAAAAAAAGTACAGAGTCCACTTATCTCAGCGCTCTGCCACTTTTTTCACTGCTGTCACAAGTCTTTGTTTATTATTAATCATCACTTGCATTTTCTATCTTAGTCCATTAGCCATATTTTACAACAACGTATAATCTCAGATGACATGAAGTCCTTCTGGAAAACAGAACAGGATTTTTTAATGCCTAAACTCAGAACTGAATTAAAAAATCCTACTCATGTCATAAAAAACGTTTGTCCCTTGTGATCTCTAGAGCCATCTGCTGGAACAACTTCAGTACTTTTCTTGAAACTTGATTGCAGAGCTAAAGCAGTAACAGCAAAGACTGGTTTTCCAAGACCGCAAAATGACAGCAGACATGCCACTTGCATGTATAAATAATTCTCTGCATACAGTAAAAAACTGAGTAAAATTTTATTTTTATAATATTCATTGTAAAAGATAAAAATTAAAGCAACATAATTAAAGCAACATATACATTTAGGTTGCACAGAGGAAACATTATTTCGTATTCTCAGCTAATTAGATGGAAATTCAATGATATAGAATCACAGAATTGCAGAGGTTGGAAAGGACCTCGAGAGATCATCAAGCCCAGCCCTCTGCTAAAGCAGGTTCCCTACAATAGGTCACACAGGTAGGCATCCAGACAGGTCTTGAATATCACCAGAGAAGGAGAATCCACAACTTCTATGGGCAACCTGCTCCTGTGCTCTGTCACACTCACCATAAATAAGTTCTTCCACACGTTAGCACCAAACTTCCTATGTCCAAGTCTTAGGCCATTACTCCTTGCCCTATTGCTACACACCACCAAGAAGAGCCCAGCCTCATCCATTTGCCTCCCACCTCCCTCCAGATATTGCTATACATTTATCAGATCTCCTCTCAGTCTTCTTTTCCCAAGGCTGAACAGAACCAGCTATTCATTCTTACCTCATATGGCAGACGCACCAGGTCCTGTTTTATCTTTGTGGCTCTCCACTGGGCTCCTTCTAGGAGATTCCTGTTTTTCTGAACTAGGGAGCCCAGAAGTGGACGGAGTAATCTAAACGTGGCCTCACCAGGGCAGAGCAGAGCAGAGGGGGAGGACCACCACCCTTGACCGTGGTCATGCTCTTTTTAATGCACCCCAGGATACCAGTGGCCTTCTTGGCCACAGGGGCACACTGCTGGCTCATGGCCATTCTGGTGTCCAGCAGGACATCCAGGTCCTTTTCTGCACAGCTCATCTCCTGCAGATCATCCTCTAACATGTACTGATGTGTTATTCAGACCAACGCACAGTTCCTCTCTTTAAAAACAACAAAATCAACAACAAGAAAACCAGAAAAAAAACAACACTAAAACCCAGCAACTGGGATTCAGGTAAGAATCACAGAATCACAACAAATCTCCAGATTTATGGTATGTTTTATGCCATGGCAACAAAAATAAACTGTTAAGCCTGAAAGCATTCTGAGTAAAATCCTCCCAATATTAATTTACCTAGTTTTAACACCAAAACATAGCAAATCAATTCAGCCTTCTTTGAGAATCTATCGAGATGCTAAAAACCTCAATTTGTGACAAAACACAAATGATGCTTTTATACTTTCATAAGGCTGACAGAAATCCATTCAAAATTCTGAACTGCAGTCTTTCTTGTTCAAGCTGGAGTCAGTTTCCACGGCCTGAACCAAACATCTCCTGTGTTTGAATTGTTTAATCAAAACCGGAAATAATGCTAAAATCTTCCAAACTTGCATTTTTTCTTTATTTCAAGGAATGGATTTCTCTTTCACCCAGTGTATTTTGCGTATCTACTAAGACTGTCCTTATATACATATATACATATATATATGCATATATATATATATATATTTTTTTTTTTAAATTAAAATTTAGGGAAAACAGTAACAGTACCTCTGCAACTTCCTTCTGAAAAGTCAGTGTCATCTGCGTCCTTCCATAAATAAAAGGTCCATCTCTTTTAGAAACATTTTCAAGCCATTTGATGATTAGAGGAGTTGAAACACTGAAGGGTAGATTTCCAATGATATGAATATTTGGTGGCTCTGCTCACATTTGATTGGAAAAAAAAAACAAAAAAAACCACAAACAACTGACAAAAAGTTTTGGATAAGATTTGTCATGAAAGAATATTTACATAACAAACATATGAGCCTATCAATCTAGAGTTAAAATATTAAAACAATTTTTATTGTGACACATTAAAATTATGCCTTTCTATTTATACTTGTCTTATACTGACAAAACTGTTACTGTTTATGATAGTTGGTTGCAAAAAAAAAAAAAAAAAAAAAAGGTAGGTTTTATTCTTGTTTACATTAGAATAAATTAGTAGCTTTCAGCCAATTTTCATCTGATTGATAGATTTCAGCTGAGCTACTCCAGAACAGCAGAAATACATAATTTAGACATTTCTGTTTTCATTCAACTATGACTATCAGATACAGAGAAAACAGGCATATGTTATTCTGTCCAACACGTTTCATCCCATGGGCTTTGGAGACTCAGGGGAGTCATAACTAACTTAGCTCAAACTAAAGAGACCCATATATTAAATGGGTCTCTGCACAGAGACCCATATATGAAATCAGAAAGCTTTCTAACTAGCACAAGACAGCTCCTTAGCCATGCAAAGTTATATGTATTGTTCAATTCTGCACTGCATCAATGGAAATGTTACACAGCACACAGTAAGTACTGCAGAAGAGGTGGACAGAAGAAAGTGTTGTTTCTTAGATACTGCAGCATTTAATTACACGAATGGCAGATGACAGTATCAAATTCAAGCTGTGTTTTAGGCACAGTTTACTTATTATTCACTTTCTAGGCTAGGATATTTCTTGGATATTTGTGATTTTTCTCAAATACCAGCCACAGGAAAGTATATTTTTGAAATCTACAAGTATTTCAGATTTTCAACTCAAAAGCTTTAAAATGAAACCAAAACAAGCCCAAATACTAACCATCCTCCCAGTTCTTCTTTAAGTGATTTGGAAAAGCCTTCTCCATTTTATATGTCAGAATATCTCCGTGAACAATGCGTACTTTTCCTGGAGCTGCTTCAGACAGCATCTGTTTGTATACACGCAAATAGAATTTACAGTGAATATTAACCACTCTGATTTTCAGCATCATCCACAGCATGAGAAAAACCCCTGCTATATACCTTATTATACAAAAAACAGTAGCAATTAAAACTGAGCACACTTAATAACTATTTACCTTCAAAAAGCAAGCACTGGTGAAAAACGTTCAGTACGTATCTAAAACCTTATTATTCAAAGCTGCACAGTTCCGAACAGGAAATTTAAGCCCGAAAAGTTTGACAAGTTTCTTGTCCATAAAAACGATTAACAAGCTCTGCATTATTAACAGGTATTGCACGTAGCAAGTTTTGGAAAGGTTCTGGATCTATTACAGCAGAACATGTTCCTGCTCAAGGCACAGACTTGGATGATCAGCTTTAAGTTCCCTTCCCACCCAAGCTATTCTAGGGTTTTATGATTCCACATGATTTAAGTGCAATTATTTTCAACCAGAAAAACAAATCTAACCACAAATCCAAATCACTTAATGGGTTTTCCAGCACTACATTAGCAATTATATTGCATTCAAATTCACTTATCTACCATGATTTGTCAAATTCTTCTTTGAAGCTATTCCAAGTACTGTAAACGGATGAAAGATAATGTAAGATCAATAAACTTAGAAAACAGTACAAGAAGAAGCCAAGACCCACCTACACAAAGGATTATTAATATGTTCTACTGTTTGTTAATATTAGTTTCCATGTCAGAAGGAATGCGGGTTTTATTTAGTATTATAATTAACATAATTGAGAAATGCATTTGACACCAGAAAATCACAACTGCATACATTCAATTTGAAATCAGAAATTGAGGGAAGTCACTGAAGCTTTCTTCACTTTAAGGCCAATGTATGCAGCTAACATGGTTCCAGAAGCATTTATGCACCTAGTGCACGAGCTGAGTAATCTTCCACTATGCAGATCCTCTTGCTCTTCATACACGAGGGAAAGGGTGTATAAAAACAAAAACCAAAGGGCATGGTTCACAAAAACTAAGTGTGCTCCCTGGAAGAGCTGCATATTCAAACTACTTTCTAACTAAGAGCACCTTCTCTCTCCTCATATATCTCTCCAGCCTAACAAGTATTAGGGCATATGGCATAAGGCGTTTGTGTTTCTTTAAGAGTGAGACAGAACTGACAGACTCTCAGCTTGTGTAAACTGTTACTCTGAACACATATGTTCTTCACTGTATTTCCATTTTTGCAGTAGCGGATCCCAGCTTCAGCTTTGTGATAGAAATCACAGACAAAAAAACAGCCAGTGAAAAATGCTGCATACTTTATATCAGCATCTTATAAATACCTAAGAAGACATTTATAAAATAACAACTGGGGACTTTTACTTAATTTCTGACATTTTCTGTCATACAAATCAAGAAAGATATGAAACAAATGCTTATTTTATTCTTCTGTACCTGAATGCGAACCCACACTGAACTGTTTTAACTGGAGATATATGGTCAGAATGTTATAAACTTTAAGGTAAAATTATTAGGATTAAAATTAAAAATGAGATCAAACAACATCAACATTCAAACTACTATTTCATGAATAGCCTCTTTAAAGCACTTGAAACATCCCCATGTTAAAAAAAAAACAAACAACTGTTATTCATTTGCAGCATCAGGTCAGAAAGAGACAAGGAGTACTTGTTAAGATAAGACAGGATCAATTAATTGCCATAGTACATGTTTTCAATTCAAGCAAATGACAGCTCTAATTTGAGCCAAAGTATCAAAACTGTTTTCAATGTGCTGATCTAACTAAGACACCTTGAATCTTTCCACGTTCTTAAAATGTTCAGGCATACATTCATATGAATCATTCTGCAATTGATACCTGCAATCCTGGAATAAATCGAGTATCTTTTTCAACCAAGAGGAGTTGTTGAACACCGGCATTGAGAATAGACCTGGTAATTCCTCCTGGCCCAGGGCCCACTTCGCAGACATAAGCATTTTTCAGCTTGCCAGCTTGTCTCACTATCTTGTCTGCAAGACAATAAGAACACACTAAGCCTTTATTCTCCAAAGGATCCAGCTTACTAAGATAAGCACATTCGCACTCTTAACAATAAACAATGAGTTTATCTCAGAATAGGCACAAACAGTGACACATCCCACTTACACAATCACATGCCTGCTAGACTGCACAGAATTCAGATTTGTTTCATGCCAAGAGATACTGCTTTACTGTTCCACTGTTTAAAGAAAGGCTACTTCCAGTTTACTGTCTTTCATGTACACTGTTGCTCATTACAGAATCAAATAAAAGGAGAATATTACTTTTTTATCTGTAAACCAGCAGTACTGTAAGTAAGCACTCAACAACCTGGCGTCTCAATACTTATCTTTATAAAGGTATATCACTACCGAACACCTGTTTTAAGGAAATGAGAGGCAAAAAGGATACAGTGAAGCTCTAGCAAGACTACTGTACATGAATAGAAAGATACAACTCTGGAAGTCAATACAGATGAGCAGGAAAAAACAAATGAACAATTGAAAAAGGCTTAAAGCAAGGATTAAAAACATTGCTAATGAAACAAAGAGATTCTTAGGAAGCCTATACTGAATGCTGAGGGAAACTATACTGCTCACTCTACAAGTCTTCTAAATGTGTAACAAAAACAAGAGATTCTGACAATCTTCTATTCTAAGGTTTTACTAAACTCATTCACACATTTTTACTCTAGCATAAGAACCTGGCTGTTCATAAAAGGGAAGAGAGTTTTATATTCACGTTCCTAATCTATATCAGCTGGAGTACCAATGTATAATTGAATCATTGGGTACATGAAGATACACTGCACTGATTACTGTCAAACCCAGCCACCACTTATACAACTAAAAAATCTGCTACGGATTGCACACTGCCATCTTTGTCAGCCAGTGCTGAGATGAAGCTGCAGGAAACTGAACTGTAACAGGTCTGAAAAGCTATGAAATTTCTGTCAGACTGACCCAACCAATGTTCCTAAGTACAGTATATAGTATATTGAAAGACAGAAGGACCAACAGTACTTGTGATATATCATAACCTGAAGGAAATCCTTCTTGAATCAAACATATAAATTCAACCCACCTGAAACTTAACCAAATTTGTCAACACTTTGGTAATTCTTGACAGTTCTTATTAAATGACAGTATTTGAATGGAAATGGTACAACTAAGGCTTGGAGTTTCGCACTGAACTGATATTTTGTTACTGATATTGATACTGATATAGGAATATACCTAAAAAATATCCTGCAATTTACTCTATAAAGAAAGATGTTTTCTAGGAATGCACAAACAAAATCAAGAAGTCTAACCTAAAACAGCTTTCAAAGGAGACTCTATGCTGTTGTATATTTGACAGATGTCATCATGCAAACATGATCCCCTTAGCCAAAAATCAGATTCTGACAAAACTGGAGATGTATATGTACTTCATAACAGCTAAAAGCGTATAAAATAAAATAGTTAACCTGTCAATCGTAAGTCCAGCAAAAAATTCTGGGAAAGTTCTTTCTGTGCTCGAAGACGAAAAAGCTTTATGATCTCCCCCACTGTTGGCAGAGGAGGCAGATGGAAAGCAGCAGCCTTTCCTGCAGCAGCCATCGGACGGAACTGGAGAGACACCAAGAAGACAGTTCTGGCATTTGCAGTGAATTTACACATGTCAAAACTCCACAGAGCTTACAAACCAATAGATGATTTACAAATCACTACACAAGTGCTTGATTTTACCCACGGGTGTTTTCACTATTGGACACAGTGCCTGTAATAAGCTCATCTCTGTGGGAGCTGTGCAAGACTCATTTGGTGGGTTTGCCAAAACACTGAACAAAACAAAACCATCCCATGACTGTTCACTTTCAATCTTTCTTTACTTTTTAGCAATATATAGTTAATTATAGAATTGCCTGGGTTGAAAAGGATCACAATACTCATCTAGTTTCAACCTCCTGCTATGTGTGGGGTCACCAAGCACTAGACCAGGCTGCCCAGAGCCACATCCAGCCTGGCCCTGAATGCCTCCAGGGATGGGGCATCCACAAACTCCTTGAACAACCTGTTCTAGTGTGTCACCACCCTCCATGCGAAAAACTTCCTCCTAATATCTAACTTAAGCCTCCTCTGTCTTAGTTTAAAAGCATTCCCCCTTGTCCTATCACAGTCAACTTATGTCTTCATTAAGACTTGCTTGTTTGGTTTGTGGTGTCACACATAGCAAGAATTCACTGCTAAGTCACCTGCTCCTCTAAGCAGAGATTTAAAAAAACAGGAATGGCAGGCATAAGCAGCACCACTGATTCTTAAAAGATTCTACCCCCTTCCACCGCAGCAAAGCATTCCACCCCAAGGCCAGCCCAACCATTACAGCCCTCAGGCCCAAACATCCCCAAGCTCCCACAGCGAGGCGGGGTCTGATGGAACCCCGCCCCGCAGCCGCTCCTCGGCACGCTGCACGGAGTCCCGGCTGCACACACGCGGCAGCTGCAAGCGTGGACAAGAAGGGTAAGCGGGGGAGGGGTGATTGACCCGGCTCTTCTTTTTCTCCCGCTGTAAAAAAGAAATCTCACAAGCAGCACGCAAGCATCGCTGCAGTTTCTTACAGTACACGCGAGAGCTGACCCGGAATAGGAAACGCCTCTCGGCTCTGCGGCCTGTCCTGCAGGCGCATGCGCCCCGCTACGGCCGCGTTCAGCAGGTGTTCCGAGTGCGCATGTGCGGGTGGTGATGGGGTGTTGTGGGATGTGGTTGAGCGCGGTGGTTGCGCAGCTGCATGTGAATGTTTGGATCTTGTCTGTTCTGACTGTCTGCGGAATAATTTGAGATTAGGGTCAGGACCTGTAATTTTCGGAGCTGTGTGTGCATTGTTGTCTGCGTTTATACTGCTTTGAATATTTTCCAGCACTGCTCAGCTTAGAATTTCCGAGTGGTGACGGGAGCTGCTGGCGTGCTGTGTGCTCACAGTAACGGTGAATTAAAGAAGTTTTGTTCTCCGCGACGCTTTTAATCAATTGTCGAGTGTTACGGTATCTTCTTCCATTTTCCTTTTCTAGGGGTATGCTTGGTGATTAGTACAACAGTGTAAGTAAGTCACAGAATGACAGGACCACATGACTGATACGGGTTAGAAGGGACCTTAGAGATACCTGGTCCCAGCCCCTTACCGTGGGCAGGTTTGCTACCCATTAGATTAGGCTGCAGGCTGGCCAGGGCTCCATCCAGCCTGACCCCGAACCTGTAGGGATGGAGTATCTCTGGGCAATCTGTTCCAGTGCCACACTACCCTCTGAATAAATTTCCACCTAATAGTTAATTTAGACTTGTTCTTCCATTTTAAAGATACCAGTCCTGTCCGTTCACCATGCTCCTTGGTAAAGAATCTCTCCAGAACTTTCTTGTTAGTCCCCTTTAGGTACTGGAAGGCCGCTGTAAGCTATACTGGAGCCTCCTCTATGCTGAATAGCCCCATCTCTATTAGCCAGTCTTTGTAGAAGAGGTGCTTCAGCCCTCTGATCATCCTTGTGGCCCTCCTTTGAATTTGCTCCAAAGGTTATTTGCTGTTACCCCAAAAAGTGAACACTTAAAAAGATATTTCCAGAAAGCTAATGTTCCTAAAAAGCCAAAGATAATCACCTAGGTGTGAGAAAATGGAAACATTCAAGGAGTTCCAAAAATAATTCCTTGCTCAGTGCAAAGAATGGATGTAATTTAAAATAGCTATACATTAGACACAGCTTTTGCCATTAGTATCATGTTCTGCTTAGATCATGGAATCAGTTAGCTTGGAAAAGACCTTCTGTATAAAGTCCAACCATCAACCTGAGCTACCCAGCTGCATCACTAAACTGTGTCCCTCAGTGCCATCCGTGTATGTTTCTTAAACACCTTGAAGGATGGAGAAACCACCACATTGCCTTGGGCAGCTCATTCCTGAGGGTGACATTTGATCACCCTATCTTTTACAGACGTTCTTTCTAAGTTCAATCTAAACCTTCCTTTGTGCAACTAAGGCCATTTCCTCATGTTCTATCACATACCACCTGGGAAATGAGACCAACATCTTTCTCTCTGCATCCACCTTTCAGACAAAGAGAGATGAATTCTACCCTCAGACTTCTCCTCTCCAGACTAAATCTCAGTTTCCTCAGCAGCTTATCTGTCTTGTTTTCTAATTCCTTCTCCGTTGTAGTGTATTGTAATGTTGTCCTGTATAGAATAAAGTAGAAGAAGATAAGTACACTGTAACCACATAAATATATTTTATGAATGTGGGCTCAATCTTGTATTGAGATCAGAATTTATCACAGTTGAAACTTGTGCATGTCAGATAAAAAAAAATGTTGTGAACACCTGTGGAGCTAACAAAAATGAAAAAAGAAAATGGATTTAATTTTGGAGTCATTAAAATTTATGGAGAATCGCAATTAGTTTCAGTAACAAAAGGAGCTGGATTAGAAGTTATTGTTTACATACAGTGGAATATTAGAATAAAATGTCATTGGTCATAGTCATAACTGAAACACTGGCATTTTGAATTTGTGAGCTATAAAGTATTTGTCTTTTCATTTTGAATGAATTTGCAGTTATCATAATTGAAAAAATAAAATACATGCTCCACCTTTTGGTAGGAATGTGGGATTTCAAATCTCATTTGTTGCTTCACCCAAGAAGTAGAAGAAAATAATAATACTGATGATTTTTCTACTTAAAATGTGAAGAAATTTGAAGAAATGAGGACCAGAAGAACAACTGTGAAAATAGCATGTAATTAATCTGTTTTATGATCATTGAATAATCCAGGTGGTTTTATCTCTAAAGCAAAAAATTGCCTGTCTAATAATTTTTCTTAGTACATGAAAATTTTTTAAGTCAGAATGTTTTTTTTAATAATGCTTTTCATACTTGTTTGTCACCTAGGCTGTGCACTTTCATCTTGCAAATTCAGGTCTAACAAATCTTTCTATTGGAAAGTAGTTCTACCATTGCTTAAGTAAAGGCTCTTTACTCATTAGATGCATGTACTGAAGTTTCTGGATATTTTGTGTGGCCACAACTCTTACTATAATAATAACAAGACGTAATAGTTTTATATTTAAGTAATTTATAGGAATATAACAATCTATGTCAATTATAATTACAGAAAAAAAAAAATAGTAGGAAGGGTACAAAAGTAATTCCTTGCCTTGGAGACATAGATCCACAGTTCCACCTTCCACAGTTTTACACAGATGCCAGGAAAAGGTAAACCAGGCATCTGAAGAAACTCACATTCATGTTGTGAGATCAGTTTTGTGAAAACACTCTTGGGGGATCACTTGGAATTGTTTATCTAAAGTGTGGATTCGGGTTCATTTCGGGTTCATTTGCCAGCATTACAAGCATTGGAACCAATGTTGCAGCCATGATTACAGCACACTGTACTGCTGAAAAGTCTTCACTGTAATTGAGAATTTCACTGGCATTTTCAGTTTTTGGGTTTATAGACTTGCTGTGCTTCTTCATAAGTACTGTGACTTATGTACTGGTTCTGTGTTCAAGTTGTTACAACTTAAATAATCCTTCCTCTGTAAAAGGAAGCACGGTATCAGTGGCTTAAAATGATTGTGCTTTGGGGATTATTATTACCAGTTATACATTATGGCATCTTGTTCTAGAAAACTGGCTTCACACCGTACTCCCGTAATTGCTACACTCTATTAGAATTCTTAGACAGAAACACCTATTTGGCAATTATCTTACGTCAGCTTGAGGTAAATAGAATAACAAATTATGAATGGCAATTACGAGAATTGAACAATGTTACAAAAATGTAACACACAGAAGTTAGAGACAGAAAATCTTTTAGTTTTCCTTCCTATTCTATGGAAAAACAAACAAGCAAACAAACAAACAAAAAAAAACACCTGGATTTCGATAGTACAAGACCTCTATTCTTCAACTAGTTTTCATATACAGTGTTTCCTACTGCTAAAATGAAATGTTTATTATTTTTATTGCGCCACCTCATAAGGATCGTAAATAGACTTCAGGAGCCCATTGCACCAGGCACTGTACAAACAACATGATGACTGACTTCCCTCTGAAGAAGCAGATAAAATGCTGAAGAGAGTAAATCACAGATGGTAAAAGGTTTTGGTGAGATAACTGAAGAGAGAGATACATTTTCGTACATAGTTATGGTAATTTTAGAAGCCACTGGCTGAAAAAAAAAATTAAAAAATTCAAAAATGCCATGGAACATCTTTTGTATTAACTGTGAAGAAGTTCCATAAAATGTCTCTTGCTCTTTCTTGCTCTTTGATTGTGGAGGCAATGCAATTTAGAGTACCTTTTCTTGAACTAAATAGTTCTGTTAGATGCAATGGTTGTGAAGTACAACAGAATTACTACATCCATTTTTTGCTCTAGCAAAGCAATCCAGTTATGAGTAAAATCTTCCTCCTTGTGTACCACTGAGGAATCATCAAGCCACAGTATGATCAAGAACAGTATTTTCTCTGTTACCACTTCAATAATGTTGTGTGGAAAAAAATAAACACTGAAGGAACAAAGAATTCCCATTAGCAAAAAATCTGGCAGAAAATGCTATCCAGCCTGCTGAGTCCTTTTCTAACATAACTCAGGAAATAGAAAAATTCATGGCTTTCATCATTGCCACAGCAGATGTCTAAAAAACATTATGTTTACTTTAAAACATTTGGATTTCTTTTGATGCTTATTCTTCTGATGTGCCATTTCATTTCTGAGCCCCTTAATCTGGTTGTGTCACACTGTCGACTGCTAGCTATATCCCTTCATGTTAAAAAAGTTTATTTTTACTATACAGTTTTGATTTCCACATGCTCATACCATTCTAGACTCTAGGACGAGCAGAAATCAGTTAATGCAAAGCTTGTGGTACCATTTTAGGAATGCCAGGAGTTACAGTGAGCACTGAGACTATTTTCACCTATGTGACAGCCTCTGGGGAACTGGGAATTTTCACACTGCAAGGTGGGCCTGAAGACATAAGAGCAGACTCAGCACTGTAAACCATACCCACTTAAATAGACTCTCTGACAGAGAATTTTCAAATTTCATGTTTCTTTTTTAAGCAGTAAGTCACACAAGTTAAAGAAAAATGATGGAAAGTAATGGCTTCCTCACTACTAGCAGTAGCTCCCCCAAGGAATTTCATTAAAAGTATAGCATACCGCATCAACAAAATTTTTTAAACTCTGAGGATCGTGAAAAATGAATAAAAAATTACACGGTCCTCTGAGTAGCACACACTTGTTAAAGTTAACAGTGTTCATGGCCACTCTTTATAATGATCTATTGTATTGTCTTATAACATTCAGCCGTGGGCTGGGAGCAGCACAGAACCTGTGTGTTCCCCACAGGGGCAGATCACAAAACAAGCACGTCCCTGGGTTTTTCTTTCCAGTTGT